TATTTATTTTAATACTCGAGTTATTTATTTTGACTTGAAGAAATAAGACATTTCATTTTTTAAATAATTTATTCAGTTAAAAAAAAAAACGATTATCTAAAATAACAATTTTCTAAATTTTCGTGTTTAGTAGGTGCCTATAAATTAGTATGCATCAGTAAACATTTTAACATAAGATATTATTATTTTGAAAATTACATAGAAACCCATGATGCTAACATTTTTTTTTTCGGGGATCAGACTTCATTTTTTTCTATTAGGATTAGTTCAAAACTTTCTCTTTCTTCAAAGTGGTTTTGACGGTGAAACATCGTTAGATCCGGGTCCACCACTGTATTATTATAAATACATCACAGGTAGTAGTTATCATTCTATACTAAATATTACTATAAACTATTGTAGTCATATTTTACTCATACGTTTTCTACCAAAATATTTCAAGGTATAATAATAAATTGAATGCTCAAATTATAACTAAAAAAAGACCATAAAAACAATTAAAACTATACAATAAAGTTTTTTTTTTATATTCTAATATTGTACTTCAGCTTTAGCTCATAATAACTTATAACAATAATTATTATTTTAACTACCAGAATAATATACATACGTCCTACTTATTTTGTCTATTTACTTAATCATAAATCATAATTATTCATTTTCTCTGATCATCAATTTTGAAAAATATAAAACATGGATGTCATTTTATTATATGTTCATTCATTATGTTATACATATTATCAATCTATAATTACGTATTCAGAAAGTGTGTACTAAAATATTTGGTTTTTACTACAGAAAAATGTTAAAAATTATACATGGAACAGTTTTTTTTACATACGCCATCAAAAATGTGTTTTTTTTGAATTATTGAAAAAAATTTTTTTGAGCTTTGTAAAAAAAAAGGTGCAGTTAAATTTTAATGTCCTGGGTAGAGTGTATGCCGACGGTATTTCGTTATTGTAAAACATAATTATACATTGGAAAGAAAACTACAAAGCTGTACAATGTAGTATTTAAATGTGTACAATTTTCGTAAAAATATTTAAAAAATAATAATTATTATTATTATTATTATAACAATAAGAAATATTAACAAAACTAAATATTTTAATATTCACATAAAATAATTAATAATATTGTTTTTAAGATTATTTTTGTTCAGTAATAATTATATTGTTCGTCTTATTCGAAATTAAATTTGAATCTTTTCTTTCATAAATCATAATAATCTATAATACCTATGTTATGTGTACTTACTTATACCATTCAACCTGAGGTAATATCAAAATCTTTTGCAAAATTACTATTAAAATCTAGCAAAAACTACTTTGTTACGTATTAGGCAAAACGCCAACTCACTTCCAATATTATAAATTTTGAATTCGCATCTAGACCGATTGCGATTGGCTGAATGATATTTCTGTGTATGTATACTGAATAAATGTTATGAAAAATATTTTATGAAATAAATTCTAATTATTATTTAAAGTAATATAGTGGTTATAATTATATGCACAGTTTATCCATATTATTTATATTTTTAAAATAGTTAATTATTGTAATATTATTCTTTATTAGTATTACAATTTAAAACTAATAAAATATTTTATTTTGAATTATTTAAATATAGTACCCTATATTAAATTCAAATCTATATACCTAGTGCATTTATTTTTAAATATTTAATATTAAATTAAATTTGCACTTGAATTGAACTTAAGTTTTATTTACTAAAAAATATCATAAAATAAAATATACCTTTACCTAATTATTTAAAATTTGAAAAACTGATTCACTGTATACCATTATACAATTATTAGTTTTTAATTTTTATACGAATTATAAATTGATGAGAACAAAAGAAAGTAATATTCGAAACATGCCCAGGTACGAAAATAATTATTCTAATCGTAAACATAATTATATTTTTTTATTGTAAGTCCACGAGTGAAAATTCAATACCTCTGATATTCTTATAATTTAAGGTTTTTACATGTTTTAATGAGTATGTAAAAACAATGATGTGAGACTCGATATTTTTATAAATAAATATCAAAAAAAGCACAGTTACAATTTTGATTAACTTATCGATAACACGATATATGGTAAAAATATAAATTGGTTTTATATTTGTATGTACCTAAATCTATAAATTATAGATAATCACTATGTATTATTATAATATACTACAAAGACTCAGTACAGCGACGTGACAACTTAGGTATTATTCATAACTTATGAATCATAAGTAATTAATAAGCCATGCAAATTGTAACAGTTATAATTTCCATCTATTATAATTGGACTTTTAACCCAATATTTTAATAGTTGCTGTACGGCGAGTTTCGACCGATGCGTTAAAGTCTCCGTCGGGATACGACGATTTTCCAATTCTCATGTTTTCAAATGAAAAACATTTATTATGTATTTATAGCATAATTACGATGATGTTTAAACAAAATAAATAGTTTACTCATCTATAACAGTAATTTTATTTTATTTTGGTGTAACACCAACAATAAAATATCGTCTTTTTCGAATTCTAAACGATTGTCAGCTACATATAAACGTCTTAACATTTTTCATTTTATTTGTTCATTATTCGGGTGTAGGTAGGACGTATATTAACCTAACCTATCTGAAATAATTACAATGAGCCGTGTATATATATGACCCGAATTCGTGTCCTTGATGTGTGCCTGTGAGTATACACACACATGGACGGATGGGAAACGTCCGTCGGAATGTTACGGCCAAGGTTGTGTTGACCCACAATGAGAAACTAGTCGCGAGCGCACGGTCCCTATACGGTCGTAGATATTATTATATAGGTATTATAATACATAGGTACATGAAATAAATAAAAAGAACATCGATCCGCGGCCTCCAGACTACTTTCCATCGTCGATCGCCCATCGGGCACCTGCAGCACTTTCTTCTCTCTCCTGTTCGAACGCGCGTGCGCCCGTGTGAATAAACCGCGGCTGCTAGGTGGGTTTGGTATATTATATATAAAAAAAATCATACTGACATAAAACGCACACACTCCGAACAGACACACCTAGCCATAGAAACGATGGTTCTATATTATATTCTACGTCCAACCGTCCGGCTTTATAATACAACTATTTTTCTCGGAGTACAATAATTTCCTTTTCACATATGATCATACAACTGCTATAACCCATCATAGTTATGTGTATATGGTGTTAAAATATAATATGACATTATTATAATTAAATCGGAAACTCGTATATGTGATGCTCCAGAAAAGTTGGGGTGCCTACAAAATACAATACAGGAAATAGGTTTAAATAATATAAAGTTACATATAGGTATATGGTATTATAATGTACCAATAGAGCAAAAAATATAACCATAATATTATGTATTAGGTTTATGTTATATGGAAATCGTATATAGTTCCTAAGCAGTAATGTTATTTTTTATGGGTTTAAAGTTAGGAAGATGTTTTACAAATCGTATATGTAAGATGTAACTACGTTTCGAAACGTATTGAATTTACATTAAAAAATTGTATATACTTTGTAATTTTTTTTAGTTATTAATATTTTATAATTTAATTTTTAAGGTCGTTGTAACGTATGTAATCAAAACTATATTTTCTTTGGCAAATATTTACCGAAGATAAAATATTATTCCTGTCTTAATATGTTGTCATGACTTGTGTTAAGCTTTTTTGCTACAAATAAAGCTTAAATGAAGAACGAAAAAAAATCGTATTCCTTATATTATGATCTTCTATACCTAGTAATATTGTAGATGGTTAATTTAAGCAAAATTTATTTTTGATTTCATGTGTACTGACATAATTTTTGAACATATGTCAACCAATAGAGTTTATTGTTGTGCACCAATGGCCATTATTTTTATCAAAGAATATAATTTTGTTTCTTAAATACCATCATGAAATACGCATTCACACCAAAACAATTTTTTATTTTATATTTTTAATAGATTTTAAGTTACTATATCTGAGAGTACAAAGCCAAGATTAAAAAGCGTTTTTTTATGAATTTTAATTTTCCAATAATATTTACACCATAAGACGGTATGACGATTTCATTATTCGATTACACGTAGATACATGCAAACCAAAATAAATATACTATAATTTTTTATGTATATATGTTGTTTGACTTACATTTACATGTTACTCACACGCTCACGCTGCACACGATGTAAATAACGTATAGCCTTATAGGTATGTTAAATCAAAATTTCGTATCACTCGATAAAATTTATTTATTTTATAGTACCTAATTGTTTAGATTCTGATATTCTTTTAAAAGACATATTATGATTTATTTGTGTGATTTTAGCTATTTTAATTGTTAAGTTATCTTGTAGGCTCTATAATAAAATACTTTTTTTTCTTAATGTGTTCCGTGCTTTAGGACAGTAGAATTACCGAACTAATTCACACTCATAATTGTGCGGTGAACTTTAAATAAATGGTCATAATAAAGTAGGTATTTAACTATACAATTCAATTATTTAGTAAATAAGTAAATGGTTTAATGTGAAATTGTAAGATCCTAGTAAAATGTTTCTGTGTACCTATTCACCTATAAACATGATATTTTAGGTACTGTTTAAAATTTAAATATTAGTATTCCCATAATGTTTTCAAAACACATTTTGTTCTTTATAATTGTTGTGTATACGCATGTCGCATGGGTCGTTAAAAACAATAATACACCCACACTATGAGACGAAATAGAAAACACAAAACACTCATTTGCATTACAAACGTGTGATACGAGTAATCGATTCCAAGCACTTCTTCATTGTGACTAACAAGGGGAAAGAATGAAAAAATTATCAAAACAAAACAATTATGCAGTCAAAGATGACTGTTTTGACTCGAAGAAGTTGCTCGCTATTGTTCTAAAAACACACACTCAATTGTTTAGCGAAGACACACGTAAAAAATCAAAAAAGACACGAACTGTTCACACACTAGCTGACTTGGCATTTGGTTAGTTTTATTAATAAAGGACATAATATAAACATTGTGTTCAGTCTTCGTCGAAGCGTTATCATAGTCGTTGGCGATGTGTTTTTGAACCATAATGGCTCTGAAATTAATTTGTGTGGCCACTCTTGCTACTGCGATACCATTGACAGCGTTTAATCATAGTGACGGAAAAAGAGAATCTGACTTTGACAAGATATGGGAGACAACAATGAAACAAGGTATCAAAATGTAAAATATTATTCCTAATAAATTGGAATTGTATTCTATTATATTTCGATTGTTGTAATTTACTATGGAAAGATGGCTTTTCATTAGAGGGACATAGCATTTGATAAATCGCCTTAATCGTTTATAGACCATTAAGATCATAATAATAAAGTTACATACCAATTGCTAATAAGCTGATTGTCTAATCATTTAGGAAACTTTTTTTCTAATTCATTAAAATCGTTGATCATAATAATTAAATATAATATGGTATAGAAAAAAATCATAAAATCATAAAAAATTGTAACTATAATTATACAATACTAATAATATGTAAAATAAAAATTGAAATTGAATACAATTGAATAGGTAAAACTCGTTAAATCCAATAATAATATTTTTAACTTGTAACTAATAGTGTATTAGTATTATATTATGTGCCGTTTAACTTCTATTCAAATGATTCCGTTTTTCATATATTTACCTGTAAATTGAACCAGTACACAGTGACTCCGACGGTCATGAATCATTAGCTAGAGACCATATTTAATACTATGTGGTGGGATTAGGAAAAGGACCCGTCTGAATATCTGCAGGACGCAACTCCAACCGTTATTAATTATCCATGATAATAGTTTTTCACTGGGAAAACATACTGTAATCTTTTTGTACCATGCTTTTTGTAACAATTTGTTACCATTCATAAAGAAACAAATTACGTATGTCATGGTCTTTTTTTACAACTTAAAGACAATCAAAATTATTCATTTACACAGATTCATTTTTGTTTTTAATTTATTAAAAATTACCGAGCATTGATATCAAAAAAAAAGCTATGACACAGAAAAGTACTAAATGAATATTTGTTAAGTCTACTGTAAATAATATTGTACACACTCGTTTAAGTTTGTCCCACTGGAAACCGTGTTTTTATATTAAAATCCTATTATTACTCAATAACTATTAATATTATTGACATGGGACCTCTTTTAAAATACTTTAAGCTAGTATTTTTTTTAAATATACTAATCAATTAAGAATAAACCAACACCTCAAAATGTTATTAAAATTGTCTATCGTAACCCCTTTAATTGCGAGCGTGTGGCGTCCACCTGATAACGTGACCGAGTATAATCAGCTGTAATATAAGTTTGTGGACACCAAACGAAATGTTCAATATTTTATTTATTCATTTACTTAATCATTTTAATGATACAATACGGGCTTAGACCAATTTAAAATTACTGTATTTAAACATACGAAATAGTGGTGTGAATATAACATATTTAATATCAATATAAAAGAGAAAATAATATTTCAAAAGTAGGTGTAAAAATATTTAGAAAAATGAAAAGGACATCTCAGAATATTATTGGCTGTACACATACAACATAGTGATGTTTCATTTAGACAATGATGTGTTGAGGTTGTAGGGCACTAAAAGGTAACCATGAGTAAGTAAAAATAGACATGAACAACATTTACTGTAGAAGGAATTTGGGAGAATATAGGTAAGGTGATTTGGTTTGGTCAATCAATAATTTAATCAAGAAACTAAGATTGTCAACAATGTATGTCAGATGATATTTAATATTAATTCCCTAACGTCAAAATGATCATTATTACTCCAAATTCCGAAACAGTTGGATGATACACAGGTCATTCCTGCCAGTTTAGTTGCCTATTCTGTTCGACTGTTTTTGACTCTAATACTTCCAAAATAAATACATTTAATATAACCGCAGTGCTTTCTAGTGATTAAGAAACGAACTAAAAAAATACATTCCACTACCTATTGGTTATTTTATAAATATTACGCCGTTAAATTATTCGATACTTAAAAATAACATTGTACACAATTAATGCGTATATACTTAAATAGAGTTTATTTAGATTTATTTTACTGATATTTAGTTTAATATTATCTGACAAATATCTCAATAGTGAGTACACTATTTGCACACCGAAACTCGTGTTAGAAATACTGTTTTTTATCTGTTTGGATTTGATTCAGTACATAATACTCATATTATGATATAGAAATCAGTATGAATAAAAATATATTAATACAGGCTTGGATTTTCAGAAGAATTTGACGGCATGCCACTACCCGAGAGTTCGGATCTACCGACTGTCACTCAAATTACACCGGCAATTGTGAAAATCGGACAACGTTACGGTGTTCCGTACGCACAATTTTTGGGAAAGAAGAAACCCCATCACAGTCCTGGTAATTGATTCGATAAAAACGCATAACATCTTCTCAGAAATAAAATAAATTAAATCCAAAATATCGTGGTACTGTTTGTTTGCATGTTCAAAAATAAAATCAGTTTAATATTTTAAGTCTCTCGCACTGACGATCGTCAGTTATTGGTATGACGAACAATGACACGACGGTCAACGATCAATCGGTTATATGAATCAACTTATATTAAATTATGTTTAAGATTAAATATCCACCACTGCATTACCTTTTAGTGCACAGCTATTATGACTGAATAAATAAATAAAAATAAATTATTGTTATGATATTCTTTTTTGTGTTATTGTGATGAATTATAGTTTTAATAAATTAAGGAACAATTTGAAACAATAATTTAAATGATTTTATTTTCAATAATCAAACAATTTAATCATATTGACATATTTTTACCAATTTAAATTAGATTATTTGAACATTTTAATCACTGCTAAGTAAAAAATTCACCCATCTATGGGTTTTATTTTTCTTTAAAAATGTGCAAGATTTAAAGCATTTAGTGTTGACATTAATATATCGAGGCAATAATATTATACCTACATTGTCTCTAGACATAACGTAAACAATGACACTGACACATATACTTTATATTGGTGTGTAGATCTATAAATTCCACTTATTATTTACTCTCATAATGAAAAACTGAAATTTAAAAAAATAGGCAAACCTTTCGACACCAAATACTTTATATTATTATGCTTTTGAGATTTTACGTAAAATGCTTAGTTTTTCAATATTCGTATTTAAAATAATTAAAAATAATGAATTTAGCTGTGTGTTCATAAATTCATATAATTTCTGTATCTTTTATTTTATTACCTCAGTTGTAAAATAACATATCTTATGAAATTAACCATATGTTATATATTATTTTGAAGTATATTATTCGATATTAATAAATACATTGAATTGCCAAGGATCTTCAGCTCGTATAAATTGTTTTCGTATGAAATTAAATATTTATTACTTATACAAACAATATATTTTTTTAATATGACTAGGTGTTATCTTAAATATTCAATATATTATGTCATAACTATATTAAAACAATACTAAAATATTAATATTTGTGTATCTATATTTAAATGTTATTTAATACAATCTATTTACATAAAATTGTTGATTGGTATGTAAAGCCATAAAGATAACTAAAATAATAGTTAAAATATTATATTTTATTAAAAAAATATAATTCGATAGCCAATAAACATTATTATACGATCAATAATATTCTATTAAAAAGTCGAAGCTGTAAATTACTTATATTATAAGAGTTGTATACAACTGAGCACCATGAATGACTATTGTAGTCTGTAATGATTGAAATCTATTACAATACATTGGGTAAATCGAGATGTCTTGAAAATAATAATGCCTAGGTATATTATTAATTGTTTTAACGATTCATCGACCTGTCGAGAGTTAGGGAATGTCCATTTTCTTAACGCAATATATGTTAATACTTATTACGTAACTCAACTTCAAGAAAAAACGAACATTTAATATAAAATCGGCGTATCTCGGCTTTAGTGCACTTCTGTTCAGATAATATAGCTCCGGGATGATTTCCAAACCGCGCGTTTTCGTTTTGCAGGGAAAAAAGACGATTTCATGGAGCACATGGTGGGCGCTTCTCTGATGTCGGGCGGCACGTTGTTGTCTTTGGGTGCATTGGCTCTGGTCGTGATGGCCAGCAAAGCGCTGCTGTTCGCGTTTGGCGCCATCGTGTTGACGTGCATGAACTCGGGCTGGTCGACCGGATGGCACAAGCCCTGGGAAAAGTCGAGCACCGTCTACGAAGTGGTCGCTAAACCACAGATCACACACGGTCACACCTATTCTGCGGAAGTGCACCACGACCCTTACTCAGCAGCACACCCCCAGCAGCAGCAGCAGTCATCTGGCGGTGGAGAATACTACGCCGGATATCCGGTGCAGCCACATTGATGGGCGTCGGAGACGCGGCTTCTATTCAGCTGCTATACGTCACAATATTTATTGTTTTATTATTTATTATTATTATTAGCATCACTATAATACTACAATTACGAGTGTAATTATTGTTATCGTTGTTATTGAATCGATTGTCCTTCCCAAGAAAATATAATATATATGGATCTTTGACGAGTCTTGTATTGAATTGGGATTTGGTGGACCAATGTAATATAGTATAATAGATGTGATTTTATTGTTATTTTTATATTATAATTTATAACCGATTTTCGAACACGTTCCGACAATGACGATGTCAACGGCGGCGGTTTTCCACGACTTTAATTCTCAGGTCCCGTCCTTTTCTGCGGCGGAATATATCCGTCGAATAATAAAAACGTCTCCCATCGTATTATTATATTTGCGAGTAACTATTATCATTAATATTATTATTATACATTATAAATCGCATATAATAACATAAGCAGACCGACAGCAGCAGCTGCTGCATTTCACGCATTTCTTCCAGAAAACAATGTGATTTCTCGTCGAATATTATCACGTTTAATCGTACAGTATAATAAATAATAATATATATCATATTATTATTTATCGTATTATTATTATTATTATGAGCGGCTGTCGATTTGCCGGCGCGCGTATTGGGTCTCTACGTGTTCATTTAAATGTCCGTCAAAATATACTCAAATTGGTCCGTCGTTGTCCGCGAGATCTTCTCTATTATTATACTCGTAGTTTCACAATATTTATAGAAGACGGTCAGCCCTAATCGAGCCTATAAAATTCAATACCACATACATCGCCAATACTATTATTGCTGCAATCGCTATGAATTCACTCGATCGACTGTGACTTCCATGATTTAACGACGTTCGTTTAAACTCCCTAACCCATATCAGTGGTGAAACGACCAGAATATTTGACAAAATATGTCCCAGACAAAAATATAATCTGATGTGATGGTAGGTGCAGGGTGGGCGGATCTGTCTTACCGGACAGTGGTCGGTTCTCAGGTGCCAGTTTGATACTTTGGTACCAAATAACTTTTGAGTGTAATTACATTTCAATAGAAATATTTCAAGGGTAGGCGTGTTTGAAACATTGTTCTGTCTCGTGAATAAAAATTGTGTGCGATGACTTTAGCCAATATCTATGTATTATGTTTATGTAATATATTATATTATAATGTTGTCAGCAACAGTGAGTTACAGTGGTTGAACAGCGGTTAGCTGAATGCAATCGCCTCCAAATGCCTCTGGAAATTGATAAAAGTAATAAATTAGAACGAATTAAAGCGAGAATCATTCATTCATATAAAAACATATATTATTAAATTTTATTCATGCTCAATAATCAATAATAAATTGTTTGCCTTATAACATACAGTTATATATATAATTACAAGTAAAATTCTTTTAGAACTAAGTTACTAATCGTCATATAATGTGGTGTTGTACATATAGCATATACCATAAGCAGATTGTTATTGCATATTATATAAAACTTAAATATGCATGATATTCAGACAGAAATGTCAAAGTAACTGTTTATTTTAATAGCTTGATGATTTTTAAAACAAAATTAACTAAATACGTTTATATGGGTAATATCGAAATATTATTTATCAATTTCATAAGTGTAACGTATGCTCAGTTATGTTTACTAATTCAAAAACAAATTGTGTCCACCAAATAATAATTTTTTAATTTATTAGTATAGGCACACCTATCTAAAAATATTCATTAAATATAATTTTAGGTAGCTGTGCTTTCTTTAGAAGTGTTTAACTTGTGATTATAATGTAGTTGATGGCTTGTTAGTTGTTACTAGTATCGTAATATTTGTATAATGCTTTTCGATGCGGTTTAAATAAATAATAATTGTAGAAACGTGACAAGCGATATAATACCAGTTTTGCCTATAATACAATGCCTTCAAGATGCCGATGTGCACAAATATATTTTACTATTCGATTTTATAAATTGCATATGCTCAATTAGCAGTCAAGAATACCAGATTTCTAGGACCATTGTCAAACAAAAAAAAAACCACCAAACGTCCGAATAGAAACATTTTCTAATTGGAAAAAAAATGATATCTCGGGATTATCATTCCGTCTATACAAATACGAAATAATAATATGCAGTAAATACCAAACGTCATACATTAATAGTCAATAAAAGTGAAAAGAATATGATAGAATTTCCAATTCTAGAATAATATGTTTTGAATTGTGTAAAATTTTTGATTTTTTTTTTGTTCGTACCTTGTAAAATATTTATTGTTGAGCGTTTTTGTCAGACTTTTCTATTGTTTAAATAATTATTAGCATTGCAATTAAACTAAATAATAACAATTAAGATTTTCAGATATCACGAGAATAGTTCACTGCACAATATTATTGATTATTGTTTACCACTATCGGGGTTTATTTTCACTACAATTCACTGCAATTTCAAAACGGACATGCGTACACTGTGTTTTGAACTGCACATTATTTTTGGCTGTTGTTTGGTTCTGCGTTCAGGAAGCGTTCTGGAAAATCACACAATTTACTCGACAAAAAATACGATATTTACAATAATTGCCCGCCCTACAGCCGGTCACTTAATTGGTCAGATCGTAATCGTTTTACTAGCCTTATTATAAAAACTTAACTACCATAATCTGCTGACTTCGGAGCTAAGATAACGATCATAATATTACACACACCGACTATATAGCGGCTTGTACGAATATTCCGTTTTGTTGTGCGACGGCGCAATTTAAATCCGACCACCGTTACTGCGAGCATGACTAGCATGCATCGTGTCATGCACACGCATTATATTTTACTCTTGTTTGGATTTCGAAGTCGGACAATGTAATTGGAATAAACTACCAGACTTGACGAGTGATTTATGATCGGCGGTTTAACCGTGTTGATGAAAAATTGGGCAACACGGCAGTTTAGGTAAGTACAAGCGAAGACCACATACATGTATGCCACCGAGAATATTAGGTATATTATTGTGTGTTATTATTGTTGTCGTTAATTCATAGTGTGTTCTTCCTCTACACAAGTGCGTTGTATCGTACATTATTTTTAGACGATAATAAAGACTTATGGCGTACACGGTGCATATTCGTGCTAGTCTTAGGTTAAACGAAAACGCAAAGGGTATATAAAATAATATGTTATATATACATGTATATGTGTGTTTGTTCGAAAAAGTCAACAGTGATCGAAAGAACTGTGCGGAGGTTTCGACGGGTACAAATTGTCTGTTGAAAAATTAACGAAAATAATGAGATTATTGACATACCACATACGTATGCAATACTATTATGCTCAGCACCTGAATATCTGACACAGAAAGTACTATTCACTCGAGTAATCGTCAAACAATTTAAGTGACGTTTTCACATTTTATTTATTTTATTCATATTATCTAAGTAATATAACATACTGTTTTTTACTTACTCTTTACGTATTCATTGAAGAGTTCGCTTCCCATATGGTTTTTAATCATTTAATACAGAATATACCTAAATAATATAATTTTAATGAACTAAATCAACTCAAAAAGTAGGCTTTTTTTATTATTTTCTGTTACTATCACATCATTGTATTGACATCGCATTGTTGACAAGAAAAAACGTCATATGTGACAAATTTACGAATTATAGGTTTTTCTGTCCCTCTAACCTAACCCAATACCTCATTTCCCGAACACCTTTTACCCGAATCGTAAATAAGTATTTTAAAATTGATAAATTATAATATATATAAAGTGGCCAATGACCTGTTGTAGAGGCCTTTATTTATAATAATAAAAAAATAAATACATATAAAATAGTACATAATATAATAAAGTAATACAAAAAAATAAATAATTTTACACAATAAAACACACTAATTTTATGTGTATTTGAAATTGAAAATATAACGTCGGCCAATAGTATGCGAATAATGCGACTCCACGGTTGCAACTATTACAATGATTTACATGTATTTACCTATACAAGGGATAATAATAATAATAATATTGCAAGCTAGTCGTGATATCAGTTAAATGTTCATATACTGAAGATAATACCTAATAGAATAGCATTCCACACCATTACAGTTTTCATATTTTTATAAATATAATATTACGAATAGTATACAAATATCATAGATGCGAGTGTCATCTTTTATCCATTCTGTAATATCACGGAGTAAAGCTATATATATATATGTATAACTATTTTGTATAGTAAACAAAATTTATAATAATCGTTCGGCTGACGAAGTTAGTCTCGTCTCACCACTTGCTCCGTGTATTGTTGCTGCCAGGTCATCGGTAAAGTAAAATATTTTATATTACATTTTGTTTTTACATTTTAAAATATACGTTAAATTATATTCGGTATAACTACTTGTCTTGTCGAACATCCAAATCCTCTCACATTCCCCCGTTTGGTACTGATCTATCACTACGGATATACAATTACACACCGTATACCAGTAGTGATAGACAATAATTTAATTGTCACCACATAACATTTATGGTGGAGGCGCCGGGAATCTGTGGCACTTTAGTCACCAACTATACATATTTTTAAGCATATTTTGTTGTAACAACTGTAAAGTGCGATAAAATCAAGATCCCCGTACTTTTTTGTAAATGCTATATTTATCGCACGGAAAACATAATTGTTATATAGCAATTTTAGTAATGGGTATAAAATATAATTTAATAATAAGCTCATCCTAAATTTAATTTTTAAATTTTTTTATTTCGAGAACAATAACCGTTCGGAAAAAAAAAGTTTGGGAAAAAAGTTTTTGGGTTTTTGGATTTTCGGTTTAAATACCATTCGGAAATTTCAATTCCGGAAAAATAGCGGGTATCCTTATAAATATACGGCTGAACCGCGTGTTGTATCTGTCGGTTAACACTTTTCGTAGTAATTAGCGTTTCAATACTATATAACAGTGGTTCCCAAACTGTGCACCGTGGTGCCCTAGGGGCACCGCGAGCACTTTCTAAGGACACCGCATTCTACGGTCTACGGTTATCAATGGGTATTATTTTTTGTTCTGTCTTTCATGTTCTTCACAGCAGGGCGCCGTGGCTAAATCGGGTCCAAAAAAGTCACAGAAAAAAAAGTTTGAGAACTGCTGCAACATAATCATTGACTTACGCGTCAACAACGCGGTGACTGGAAGGGAGAGGGTTAAGGGTTCAACCTCCCTCGAGAAATTTTCCGAAGTGACCCAACCGGTGGTCGTTATATTATGCGGTCTCGTGAAGACGCCGCTCCATAACCGCTGACGAGTGACGTACCGACGTGATATTAAATTAAGCAAATCGATATCATTGTCGAGCGACGTCAGCCATTAGAGCCAGTAAATAGCTATGTAGTCGTACTCCAGGCACATAATATTATTATTTAGGTACGTGTGAATGATGAGCTCCGGGCCAGAGCGTGTAAAAATGGTCAACGCACGTCGCGAGCGCGCAAATTTCAATAGTCTTTTGTGCTACGTGAATATAATAATAATATAATAATAATATTATATTTTATATTATATTATACATTACGACAACAATAAACACACGCGCGATAATGGGGCAGTCCCGTCCGGTCATGATATGATCGGTCGCGGCGACGCATTGTGTTTTTCCTTTCTTTTTCCAACGCGTAGGCGCAATAACTATTATCCTTATACGGCTTACGTATACCTATACATATGTGATACTTAAGGTATATATATAAATTATTATATGCCCAAGTGAAGTCGGGAATTCATCTGCACAATTTATGTGCGACTTTTTAAAAATGGCCCCTAGTGACCAAGTGTAAATATGTGGCAGTTCTGAGATGCATCTTTCAAACCTCCTATCTTCACAAAATTGCAAGCTTTGGAAATAGTTATTTTCATATGGCGTATGTCAATAAATACTATACATATCGAAACCTAATGTCATTCGTGTCCATGCTGATTTAACGGTCATGCTCATCCTTTTTTTTATTCTATGTTAATGCATTTGTATTTTGCTTAAATATTATTATGATTTTTAGAGTATTTTTAAGTAAGTACAGTAAGTAAGACTATATGGGTATTTTAAAACAGTTAAATTTTACATAGCATGATATTTTAAGGTATACCTATACAACGACGATACAACCATATTTTACTGTAGAGACTGTAGAGTGTTAATCAGATAATTTGTATGGACATTTTGAGGCATTTAAATCGTAATAGTAGGTATAATATAGTTAAATCAATATTGTAGTATAGTTTCTGAGTTATTTAACTTTAATATATAGTTCTTAATAATGGTTTTACACTTTTGAATAAATATAAGTATGTAAATACAAGTAATGTTGATTGCCTATATTTAGGACATTATTGGCTGTATGATAATAATAATTAGTCAATACCAGATACCAGTCTAAGATTTTAGTTTAAACTTGTAGTGTATTACAGCTTAGTAGCTTTTGCTTATAATATAGATACCTAATCGGATAATTTCCGATTTCTTGATTTTTTATCAAGATTTTGAATAACTGCTGAAATAATTCTAACCATTTNACTTAAGGAAAAAAACATGCAAATGCATATAAATCCTAGCCCTAATAATAATAATTAGTCAATACCAGATGCCAGTCTAAGATTTTAGTTTAAACTTGTAGTGTATTACAGCTTAGTAGTTTTTGCTTATAATATAGATACCTAATCGGATAATTTCCGATTTCTTGATTTTTTATCAAGATTTTGAATAACTGCTGAAATAATTCTAACCATTTTTGAGTCTTGTCATAAACGTTTAAGTTGCCTATGCCCTAAACTCTGATCATAGATTATCAATTACCTTTATTCGTCAAACGTGAAACCATAGCCGCAGTAACAATGATTTAGGAAAAAGTGTAATTGAATATAATTCGTCAATGGTCGTAAAAATAACACAACTAACTCTTGCTTAATAGTAAAAACAATACCCCTCAATGATAAATTGGCTATTAGGACTTACCAAATTTGATCAATACTGATTTTTTTATTTGAAAAATCAATTTGTATAATGTTTATTCTAACATCATACATTTATGTGAACCTGAACAACGTTGGTGATTTGACCCTCGCGTATACTTTGTTCGCAGGGTGCGGCTATAGTCGAGGAATAAGCAGTTTATCTGTATCTGTAGTGTTATGATATTGTCGTTGTTGCATTATGAGGCCTACAATACATACTCGCCACACGGATATATTATTAAATCGTATATTGTTATTTCTTATTATAGTTTTTAGCTAGTGTATAATATGTGCACACGGCCGTTTTCCCTACCGTGGATTTTCAAGCGGGGGGATGGACTGCCACCGCGCGACCCAGATCGCCGGCCCCGCTTGTCCGCCTATAACTGATCTCGCAGCATCCCGGCGCATCACACAACCGCTCGACCTCCACAGCGTTCGATCGTCCGCTGCCGCCTTCCGCTCACGACCGTGGTATACCATACGACAGCACGCGACTCGTCTACAGCATACCCGTGGAAGTGACGACGGCAGACGATTATCATAGTATCGGCGTGTACGTCGTATGCGACGTGATTTATAGGTGTTGCGGTCAACAGTTGTATAAGCTCCAAGTCTGCCGTTTTACTATACATACATACGCTTACATTATCGTATTGCACAGCGTCATATCACCTCGAACCGTCGTCATGAACGGCCGCCGCGATTCCGCTGTGCTGATGACAGCGGCTCTGGCTCTTTTGACGTTGACCGGAACTCGGGGCCAACCGACGTCCGACACCTCCTCGTCACGGGAAACAGCAGCTTCCGATCAGTCGTCCACAGCCGACGACATTAACTCCGTCGACCCAGCGTTTTCCAGGCCCTTCAACGGATCGGCTGAGAGCTTGAAAAAAGTGCGTATACACCCTCCATATTGTACATTGTATGTAAAGCTATTACTTACATTTTATGTAATGACCTGCAAGACAACGAATTATATTATGCGTATCTGTTTCCCCGTCCACGTCGCTTCGTCTGCCTTGTGTATATATCATATACCCATGTGACTTTATACATAGGTACCCTGGATCTTCCGTCCGATCGAATTTCAAATAATTTCAAAAGTTGTTATTTCTATCGTATTGCAGGCTGTGAGAATAAATTATTCGGAAATCACGTCAATTAATGAATACATTGTACATTTAGTTATATTTTGAGCTGAGAAAATAATTCTAATACATGACGTTTTAGGTCACAGAAATAACGAGATTAAACAACAACAACAAAAGCGCGATTGTTGTAACATTTTTTATTTTTACGTATATTGACTTCGCGTACCATGCTTGCATACGACGTCTACGTTCATGTACTTAACCGTTAATCGATTTACAAATGGATTACATTCATATTATTTAAATATGTACACGCTGTCATAGAAGAAAAAAGATACAATAATATCAACATCGAATTATGTACACATAATATTATTATGATTTAGGTAAAATGATGTGAGAATTTCGACAATGCGAGAACATTACCGAGCGTTATATAATATAACAATGGCGATCGGTATGGTTTTTTAAGGTCTAAGTGAACTATCAACGATAGTAAAGAATATGATAATGTTTAAAATATGGGTGTAAACGTATAATGTTGCCCGGTGTTTCGTCATCTCTGAGATCTCGAAAATTAAAGTATTTTCAAATTTGATTTGTGAGGAAATTGAGTTTAGAGCCAATTCGAGTTTTGATTTTTAATTTTCAAAAATAGACGAAATAAGACGTCGGCGGGAATTCAAATAATTATAGTTGTAGTATTTATACTCGCTGTTGATGAGCCCAATTACTAATTAGTATGACCTTCGTCCAGAACGACTTTATTATTTCGTGGATATTGTTCGCAAAAAAGAAAAACGATAGGTAAGACTGAATTTGTAGTTTCACTCATAACTATATAAATAGAAAATATTAAATCAGTTTAACAATGCCATGTTCTAAAATATATATATATAAATTGTTATAAATTGAATCACGCTGAGAAAATCGGTGTGTTATCAGGAAACACCACGTGTTCAGTTTTCGATTCCCGATTCCAGTTTATTTTGAACAAAACCATCATAGGTATCGACTAGTCGACGAAAACATTATTGACATTCGGTAGAATCAGCTCGTCTAAGTCAAACTTTATCTCTAGTTTTCTAATATATACTAGGAAAAAATATTAACTTTGCGGTTGGTCGAATGAACAACGTACGTATATTAGGTTTATTGTAAATAATAATAGAGGTAGTGTAACTTAACTTAATCCAGTTATATATCTTTCTGATAATATGGTCGCGGGGTGTCCAGAAAAACACATAATTGACGTCGATCTCGGCAATATCGAGTTATTTATTTGTAGCACTGTGGTGTTTTTGTTATTATTCGCGTTTAATATTAATAAAATAAGCTAATAGTAGAACTTGTATAATTTGTGTATTTATTCTACTTTAACTACCCCCCTTCTTCATCAACTGCCCAATGCCCGACCTAAATCCTCAGTAAATACTGCTAAGCATACTACATGGTTGGCCACATGGGCGCCGAAATCCGAGCTTGATGCAAATTCCAAATTTGTCATTCATTGTCCTATTTTTCTTAAAGATTCGAAAATAATTACATTTTTAATTAAGTTAATATTAACTTAATTTATTTATTTATCCATTAATTTTTAACTCCAAAAAGTTATAAAAAATACATTTGTTAGCTTTTAACTTAACTTATCGTACTTTTTATATATTAACTTAACTTAACGAGTTAAAAATAGCTCAGCCTTGCTAAAAAACAATATCTAACAATATTATTTCCAGTTACAAAATACTGGAAAAACAATATAATGTTATAAATTTACATTAATTACACAATATGTCATTGTCAAAAACACTGAATAGGTATGAGAAATAATACTCAACAGACGAATGAATTAAACAAAATGGATGTTTATTTCAATATTTGTCGAGCCTTTAACATAACCATGTAAGGTCGTTGGATTTTGTTTGTTACTAGCCAATAATCCTTATACGATATGTCAATTACAATAATATTTCGAACAAGTATTAGAGACAATTGAATACAATAATAATTATAACGAATTATATTATAATACATTTACATATTTTATAGATGAAAATAGATTTTCCTGTACCTACTATATATTATAATATGATAACCTTTTCATATCCCGCTATTAATATCTCTAGTAATATATTGTAATGGTTTTATTAATTTAATATAAATATTACACATAATATGATATTATATGTATTACAATAATTTTTAACTCGATAACATAGCAATGTATGAAGCTTGAGGAATATTTTTCAATGATTTTGGATTGTATTTAAATATATAATATAATATCTGTCGAGGAGGTATGCATACGTTATGTACACTAATTATATGTGTTTGGGAGAGCGGCAGAGGATATTTATTTACTATTTTCATATTTACTTAGATATGTATGTATAATATATTATGTAAGTGTGCATGAAACCTTAAAAATATGTGTATAGTATTAAATTATTTTCATACAATAATCTAATTTTGAATATTGTATCGATATTTTATCTACTTACCAGTACTTATGGATTATAATATTATTATTCAATAGATTATTATAATAATCATCAACTTTAACTCATCATTCTCTAACTTATGAGTTCCAACTGAAGAAGTGAAGAATATTATTGTATATAAACGCTCTTTGTTTTGTGTCTTTATGTCATCCAAATTGATGTTTCTACTGTGACATTATACTTTATCAAACACTAGCAAGCAAGTTGTATTGTCCAATATTGAGACTCCTCTTTTGAGAACGAATCCCGTTGAGCTGCCTATGACATGTGACGAAAAACAAAAATAGAAACTTATAATGTGTCGGAAGTGAATAGTTTAACAACACTATGATCGAAAATCAATGACGTATTGAAATGATATTTTTAAATTTTGTTTTCGTCGGTGGTTATTCATACTAAACATTTTTACTTTTTTTGTAGATACTTGTTTTCTGTACCGAGTTTTTAACTATTTTTTTAAACGGTAATATTATTATACAATTTTTTTTTACACTTATCCATTTGATCAACTCAAATCCATAAGTGACGTACAAATATACCATTGCGACGTTATAGAAAACATTTATGATGATACATATAGTATAATCATATTATTACATTGAAATCCGTTTTCTCGTCGTTATTATTCTCTCGATATAATATGGATCCGATCATTGATCGTATTTCGTACATATCGAAAGCGATACCGACACTTTCATGTTACAAGTATAATTTCTAAAAAATAAAAATAAAAAACAACAACAATAATAATAATAACTCATGTATTATGTCCGATTCAACAATAATATAATAATATTATAACGATTACGAACCATTACGACCGTTCCGCGCGGACCGTTCACACCATACAAATAGCATATATACCTGCAGCCGAAGAAGAGGCTAATTTTTTTTCCTGGTGATATCGATTTTCTTTAAATGTGTGTAGGCCTTTAAATTGGTTTTCTAGCGAAAATGATATTATCAATTATTCACTTAAAGTGGAGAAAATGAAATCGACATCACAATAATAGTAATAATAAACAACTGTACTGTATTATTATAATATTTGTATTGACGTATTGTGTTGGAGAATTATTTTCTACCGCATTATATACAATTGTACGGTTTTGTTTTTTTTTTCATTTTTAGCTTTATTGTGCTTGAAACCATGATGTTTTTATTTTCATGCATTTTTCAAATTATAAACGTAGTTACATTGAATTAACATCGATTTAAAAATATAAGTTTCCGAACATTTTTAGTTTTAGTTTTTGCTAAACCACAGTTGAATATTTAAAAATATTAAGAATATTGTGTATTGTGTATTTTGTGTAAACGATAAACACTAATATAAAAATATATTGTTACCTCCCGTGAGTATTTCAAAAACACCAAATATAAATTCATGATTGAATAAGTTAATCGTATTGATAAATCAATAATCACCATGTGTTTACTATATATTGAAACAGATTGCTCACAACTTTATCATACAAATTTGTGTGTGTGTTTGCGTGTGAGTGTGAAAATAGATTGGCCCCTATATCAAAGGGCTCCTGGAAAGTCGGGCTTGGTACTATCACTAGATAATAATATGCGTACTCATGAGTTATAAGTTTATAACCTATAAGATTCATAAAAAATAAACGCTACCCATATATTACAACTGGCATTGTAGTCTTCGAAAGACGATCGGTACGAGACGATTTTGGCAGAAAGTTGCTTAAAATATCTTTAGTATGTGCCGGTGGTAAAGCGTTTCGAATTTTCGAATTTGAGCGATCGGAGAAACGACTAGGTAAGCGTCGTGTGTTATCGTTTAACCTAAAAATCATAGATTTCAAATGATTTTTGTTCTCGAAATCTGGGTTGGAAAGTCACACATTCACGCGTACAATAGTCAATGTTCCAAAAATACGTGACCATAATGCCAGCGGAGACTAAGAGTGAAGACTGCACTATATATATATCTACTATACAGCGTCCCGATCTGTCAACGTTATTCAATATTACAAGTCATACCTATGTAACGTATAACTCCATCCAATAAATAGGCACGCGTCGATTACAATTGTCGATATCGACGACTGCGTGTGCAAAAGTCCAAATTTAATATAACGTGCCTATATATAGGAGATATATGAAAGTGATGAGTGTGAGTGTGATTTCGACTATTGAGCATAACTGAAAAAAAAATTTTTAATTAATCATAAGAAAACCTTCAATGGCTACATCATATTATTATGCAGTATCACAGTTTCCCATTAGGTATCGTCAAATCAGTATATCTTCGTGATTTTGTTTCGCGTCCTAATCAAATCTATCGATTCTTCTTTGTGGTGGGTGTTGCTGTAGGGGTGATACGCGTATAAAACGCTCTTCTCCGGAGCTTTCCACCGAAGACCGTTTTAGCGAAGAATATTATGTTTGACAGAAAACCTTTAACGTACATTACAATTTCTCATTCAGTAATGTCAAGTCGGTATACGTATTCTTGTATTTTCTTTATCATGTCCTAATCAAATCCGTTGACTCGACGTCTGCGAGTTGAGTGTTTCAGTGTTACGCGTATTACCTATACGCTCTTCTTCTGCAGGTGTTTCCGCTGACTCCTGTTTTCGACGCCATTGACCACGTGATTGTGAGATAGGTACCCAAGTACTTATAACCGTATACCATTCGTAGATTGACGTGAAAGAAAACTGCGTATGACCGCGACGTCCCGCTGGCCCGCTGTAAACACACGTGTCGTAGGTATTCGCGGATGACTATATGTATAGTTATAGAAAATGTAGGTTTACGCGATACCTATAGGCTATAATATACATTTCAACTGTTTTCGAAAAATATATTTTTCTCGATTTGTATATTATATTGTTTGGTTCGCAACCGAATACCGAGCGAGTAACATACCTACCTATAAGATATTGTAAAATACCTAATTGATTTTCCGTGTAAAAACCTTTCAAGCACTTCGCGGCACATTATTATTCCCTCACCCGGGGGCCTCCTCGAAATGTGGACAATGTGGTCATGACGAAGACGATGAAAAAATATGTTGCCCAATGCATCGATACCGAATTCGCACTATAACATGTAAATGCAAATCGCATACGTAATTATTGTTGTATACACCTATTTATAGACCAATGTGGGCATATTAAAGTCAAATTTGATCGTTATTTTTTGACGAGTTCGCTACGACCCACTTGTACTAGAACACCTGTGTAGTGTGTAGTATTTTTTTTAAAAAACAATTTGTTACCTTGGGATCATCTTTATAAACGGTTTTTTCACGGTCCGTCGTTGGAGCGTCACGATAATGATCTTAAATGTTTTTTCGTTCAGAGATTATTGAAAAAAAATAATGAAACAAAGTCAAATCGTCTGGAATCGACGGATAGATAAACGGACGAAGTTTTCGGTTTCGGGGCACACGCGAAAACGATAAAATAGCTATCCTATATAGGTAGGTATACAATACAATATTGTAGTAAAGATATTATAATTTACCTACCTGCATAATATTTTATTATTATTATAAGTTTGTGATGGAAATTATTTGGAACGCAGATTCTTCCACATTATTATAATAAATTTTATATTTATTCATGTGAAAACCGATTCGATAACCAATTCTGTAAATTGATGTCGTACGTAAATCGTGCATGTGTGTGTGGTTCGATCATTATTATATTATTATTATGATCGAGAGTACCTGTCACGTACTCATAATAATGCGTATCGTAAGGAGCATTTGGTTTTCCAATACTAAGGACAATCGGTGAAATGAAACCGAAGTGTGCGTGTGTGTGTGTGTGTGTGTGTGCGAGTGAGTGTGTCCTATGCAGTGAATTTCCAATAAATTCGATTCCGACAAAAATGAACAATGATCGTTGGCGTGCCGAGTTAACAGGTTTTCGGGACAGATAATTTGATGGTTTCACACGACGTTTATTATTGCGTTCGCGCGAACGGAGGCCGTCGATCGAAGCAGTCGCACTTTTCATTTATTTTCCACCAACCGGAAATTTTAGTCCACCGGTTTCAGCGACATGTGAGAACAGCGTTATAAATAATAGCGTGTGTCCTTGCTGACCAATACTGCGCGTAGTATTAAGTACCTGTATATGTATATAAATTATATTTTTTTTAAATTTTATTTTTAAAAACAAACAATTTGTAATAATAATAATAATAATAATAAACATGGTTACTAATACACTTGCAACTTCAACGTAGGTACATGAAAAAAACGGAAACAAAATGGCGATACTTTATAAAATGCTTAGGATATATTTGATTTTTTTGTTTAGTATTTTAATTAATTCAAATTATAGTTGAAGTCTCTGCTAGCATCTTCAGTCTGAGTGGAGGTTTGCCAGGTATGGTGTAGAACCAAAAGTGAAAATAGTATATAATATTTAAAATATTTAAAAACATTTTTCAAATTTTAAATGTTTATGTGTACTTAAATTTATATTATCACTATTTTTTTTTGTATGTGATAACGGTGTATGATTTGTTTTGTTCATAATCTCTACTTAAAAACATCCTCAGTGATCAGTGAAAACATCCAACGGCTTTACTTATAACTGTCTCTACATTAAAATCCAATCATGTTTAAAAATGTCATACCAGGCCAAAGTGTATTTTAATACTATGCAGTTTAATTACAGTATGATGTTTAATGTACCTACTGAAGAATTAGAGAGTATACAGCTGGTATTACAAAAAAAAAAAAAAATATAAACGAACACTATCAATGATAGTTTGGCACACTGTTAAAATATTATATGATACAATACCTACGATTCCAGTATTACTATATAGACAAAAATATTAATATTTCATTTGACCGACGTGAACAAAAAGAACAGATCTATTATTGTTTTTTTTCTAGGCCTAAACACAGCTGCAGGTCTCCCCTTTAGCGCTATGTTTATTATGTTACCACACGGAGTACCTACATCCGATATATAGTTTATATTATATTATTACGTTTAATCGATCGACTTCGAGTCTCGTTATATTTTATTTTATACCATCGCAACATTAATATTATTATATTATTGGCATTGTTGTTAATATTGCGTTTTCGTCACGATCATCCAATGTAGGTCATGTGGAAGAGGTGCGTGTCCAAGAACTACGTGACGTGCGCTAAGCTGGCGCTGGTGCATCTGGTAGACCGTCTGGAGCGGACCAACGACAGCTACTCGCTGGTGTCCGGCGTCACGGTGTCCAGCCAAAAGTTGGTCGGTCGGGCAGAGGACGGCGACGGATCCGTACCCGAGCAAACGACCGCTGGCCGCGACTCGTCGGAGGCTTTTGACAGGTTGCTTGTCGACAAGTTGGGCCATTACTTTGGCACACTTACACTCAACGTCAAGCTGTTGGACGACGCGACGGTACGGTCAGTTCGGAAGTTGGGAGAGGCTGCGGCCGACGCGTCCATTCAATCGGGTATGTAGCTTATGGTATTTTATGAGTAATCGCCTTTATTTACTCGCGTTTTTACTCAGAAATTCCGAAAACGTTTTCAAGAAATTCTGGAAATATCTGGCATCAGAAACTCTTATACGATCTCAGGTGGTGTACTGGTGTATAATTTCAAAACACCCTATAAATAGTTAAGCAATATGTTGGTGTTATAATATAAATCCACTTCTAGAAATGTTTTTAAATATTAAAAATCTTATTAAACCTAAAATATCATTACATTGCATCGAAACAATGAATAACGACATTTATAATTACAATTATAAAGCTTTAAGATAATTTCGTAGACTTATTATAAACAGACATCACCAAATCGCATGACATAATTTATTGAATGATTTGTCATCATATAAGGTCTATCTGAATTACACGCCATCTTTTTGTAATCTGTATTAACTATATTATGCGTTTTTTTTTTTAAAATACGATATTTTTACTTATCATAATTTTATTTATTTTGTGTGTTGGTAAGTATTAACAACTGAGTGTTGTATACTACTATACTAGTAAACTTGTATTTTTGTACTTCAGTATTTCAGGTCGAAAAAAAATTGTTAGGATAAAACGGAAAAACTAAAAATTTGATTTATCATTGTTGAAACCTTAGAATTTTGTTTATTTTTCTCATTTATAGAAAAACTAAAAGCAAATTTTAAAATTTAAAAAATTTGTAATGCACTGTTGACGGTTATCAGTTATCACTAATCACATAAGACAATTTTAAATTAGGTGGATAAGCAATAACGTGATGTAATTCAATCATAAAAGGTGGGTTTTTCATATGCATTCCAACCAAATACCTCTAATATATACTCACTATTTATTAAAACGTGGATTGATCGAATTATGAACCACGTTCACCGTTTACGAGTAAAATAATTGGGTGACATAGTAATAGCTGGTACTTAAATGGATAATATAATAATCGAACGAAACCGTGATTCTGTTTACACAATAAATTGGGAGATTTAATACATACCTCTTTCACAATGATTGATTTTCTGAAAAATAACTTTGGAGTTTCTATTACGTGCAATTATATGGGCGATTACGTTTTTTAGCGGTTTTTGTCAAACCCGTCAAAATATAATATCGAATTAGCGTAATCTATATATAAGCAACAGAATCGTTTGTTATCCGATCGACTCGACAACTATTAAACAAACAGCTCTCCATTGAAATAAATCGATTTCCATCAATCGAAAATTATGTTATACACGTGCAAGCCGTTCACACATTTTTTTCATTAATTGCATTCATGCGTTATTCGTTTGTACAACACGTTCATGAATATTTTCGAAATAAAAGGACGTCGATCGACCAGAAAAAAAAATCAGAAATATCCGTCCTCAGTAGGTCATAATTAAAATTATATTGTAATACTATTATAATATTATATTGATAACTATAAGTAATAATATAAACGCATGCAATATTATTACTTGTGCTATGCTAAAATATAAAAATATCTTAATAGGAAAATTATATTTGTGGCGATTAACAATAATTAAAAATATTATGCTCAATGTTCAATTTTTTGGGTATGCGTTTTCTATAAGAGCACTACATTTGTATACATTCCAGAAAACGAAAAGAGAAACGCAATAGGTATTTCTTATTTATTTAAACGGACAAATCCTGAATTTTTCTTTCTAAAAGAGTAAATCATTTTTTAATGAATAAAACAACGTTGTGTTCATAATATTTATATTACCTTGATTTTTTTTCCACCAAATTAACTATTATATTTGAGTTGTTCGCATCAGATTACGAAATCAAAATAATTTTTTCCGTTAAGATCAAAGTAGATAACTAAACTAAAAGAAAAAATTGAAAATCTTGAAGTACAAAGTTTTTTCATGCCTCTCGAAGTGTTTATAAGTTATATTCAAGGCGTAGGTAAACATACTAAAACTATCCACTATAAAAATTGCGAGCTTGCCTACCCGAGTATCGCCTAGGACGACAACAATTATTATAATATTCTGACGGTCACCGTTGTTCGCAGGCAGGGGCAAGAAGCAAAAGTACGCGCAGTCCATCCTGTTGGCCGGATGGGTGACCGGGGCCATGCTGCTGGCGCTCGGCATGAAGGCGATCGCCGTGCTCGCGGGCAAGGCGCTGATGACGGCGCTCATGTCGCTGCTTCTGTCTGGGCTAGCGTCGTTCCGCGGCGGCGGTCACTCCGAGCCCAAGAGCACCACGTACGAAATCGTCACCAAGCCAGTGTACTCTCACTCGCACTCGACCGCGGACGACACGCACTCCGCCGGCTCACAGAACAACCCCACGTACAGGCGGTCCATCGGCGGCGGAGCAGGGGGTGGCGGCGGCGTCATGGGGTTGCAACCGGTGCCGGCCCCGTCGTCTGCCGAGGATGCCGACCACGTTGTGTACCGCATCCACACTTCTGACAAGACGCCTATTTATATACCCATCATCGATCGCCGCTGACCCCCACCCATCGCCCACCCAGCTGTCGTGTGTTTGGCGTAATGTCGTATTGTGTGTATTTATTATTATTATTATTATTATTATTATTACATTATTACTATTTTATCGTCGACATACGTCCACGGCAAAGCTAATTTATTCATATTATTGTATACCTATGCATTATTATTTATTTACCCTTTGTTTAATTTTATTTATACATTATTATATCATGTTTTATGCTGTTTTGCGTCCATTTATGTTTATATATATATATACTCTATAACTACCTATTTAGGACCTATTGTATACCGAATGGTATTTTTTTTTTAATTGTCTACATTTTGTACGACTGATAGTCATGTATACTCGTGAATCTTGACTCAGAAGTCTGTGGTGTGGTTCTCGCCATCCTTATAACTTCGATCAAATTATTAAACGTGTTTATTTATATCGATCGTCGACCGATATCCAGCTTATGATCTCTGTAAGTTCAAATAATTTTTTTTTATAATGTGATTTACCTATTTGATGTTTAAAAAAATGGTTTCAAATTTGGAGTGCCGATTACGCTGTTCCATAATAAAATCAACAGGCTATTAACTACAACACTAGTATATTAATGCTCACATACAAAACAGCTATAAATTCTACCAAGCTATAACCAAGAATCTTCTGGAAAATTGACCATTTTTATAAATAAGGTGGTTAAAAATAATAGTTATGTCAGGTGCCGGATATACTATATAAACCGTTGCACTGTTATGAAGCATAATATATGTCTTAAAATTGTAGTACATTTTTCATAGAAAAAATTATTTCTTTTTAAAAATCATCGTTCATCTTCATAATTAAGTGATTATTGAAGTGTTTAAAGTGCTTTGTATATTGTAGTCTCTGAAATAGTTAAATTGTATAGTATAGTATAGTATATTATATAGAAATCATGTTGGGGTATACTTAAAAAATCATATATGTCATACCTAGTTAACTCTTCTTGACTGGTTATTAGTTGTATTTTTTTTTACTTAAGTCCAAATAATAATTAATAATATTCTATGTTGAAAAATATTATATAAAATCATTATTGGTAAGTAAAAATAGTTTTTTTTAAATGTCTATAAAAAGTAAATATTTATATACAAAAAAAAAACATTTATTTATTCAAATAATCAAGTTTAAAAAAATTAAGTATATTTTATATGGTTACTGTTGATTTTCAGAAAACTCAATCCATCGTTACCTTTTTTTAAAGAATTCATTAATAGAATATAATAAACCCACGTATAACAGATAACCAAATCACGTAACATTATTATTTGTGTAAATAAATATTTTGAAAGTTTAATTTACTATAATATACAGTTATACGTATTCAAAAAATAAACTATAATATACGAATTATTTTGATTTGAAACGGTTAAACCTTCACACTATCGAAAATGCACAATGCATTATAATGTAAAATCGAAATCATCAGTATGAGGTATTATACAATATTTTGATTGTTCAATTTATGTCTTTCTATTTTTTTAAAAATAATTTACGTAGGTACATTGTTATTTTTAACGTAGATGATCATAAGACATAATGGTTTAAAATTTCAGATAGGTCTTTTGGACCGATCATGTGTTTTGCTAAACGATCCAGACGATTTAAAAGTAAGTAAATTATTTTATTAAAATGTTATATATTTAAAATGATTAAGGAATTTATTATGATTATGCTCAATTAATCATACAATACAAATTTATATTTATTTTTAGTACATTCAATTTTGTAAGAAAAATAAAATAAAATACGTAATAACCAAAATCTTCAAATCCAAAACTATTAATATTTTTAAAATGCAACAATTATTGTTTTTTTGTTATAAAAGGTAGCTAATTTCTTCAAAATTTGAACTTGAAATGTGTATGTTACGCCGATTTTGTGAAATTGCTGATTTCATGAAATAGGCAAAAAAATTGCCGATTTCATGGAATCAGCATCACTGTTGCAGAAAACGTGAAATCAGCAATTTTTCTGCCGATTTCATGAAATCCGCAGGCCCATTCTTAAAATATTATAAATAATTGTGTTGTACTCATGATCTTACATATAATGCTGAAGATAAAATAAAATCTGATTGTAATAATAAAAAACTAAAGTTATAAAAATATACTTAGTTTTTATTTATATTTATATTATTATTTTTTATTTATTTTAATTAAGTGGATTAAATAACCCAATTAAATATTATTAAAAAAAAAAGAGAGTTGGTTATACATATTGAAGTAGAGTTACTAAATATTTACATTTATAAATTTTGACAACTATTGCCTGGGTGGCACGCCGAATTACACATCATGTCATTTTTCCTACATGTGCACTTTTTTGATGTGCAATTCGTACGGCAGGTACAACGTCGATATCCTTGTCCAGTCCCAACTGATCCTAATCGGACAAGTTCCCGTAACGAATATTCATTTGATTTAACGTCTGTTGTCGTTAAGGAACAGTACTTCGTAGCAGCCAAACTGTTCCGCTCCAGCCATGTGTTTAGAGTTCCTTCTTTGGTTGCTATACGAAATTTACCATTTTTTTCTTCCATTACAACCGAAAGAAGGTTGGCGGCATCTCCTCGCCCTCGATCTACCGACGGGATTGACACCAGAACATTGTCGCCAACTTTTAAGCGAGGGAGAATGCCTTTGCCTCTCGTTACCATCCTATCCGCTTGGCATTTTAAATTCTGTGCAGCAATTTTGCGTCGTGCTACAGCAGGATGATCGGAAACTACCTCTTCAATATTCTTCATAAAAATGTTAATAATTAATCATAATAGTTAATAATTAATGATTTTAATTACATTATATCCATAGACTTACTTCGTCGGTGTCACTTTCAATATCCAAAATGTTTCGTGTGGTCTTTATTAAGTTATCAAGTTTCTGCGCAGTAGTATCTTCTAATAATTCATTTGTATCCTGCGTACCCTCTAAATCTATTGTCTATAAAAAAATATTTTTTATTATTTTATCAGCTACTACTTTTTGTCGATCGTAACCAAATTTAAAAAAATCTTAAAATGGGTCGAACAATAAAAAGTTTAGGAACCTCTGCCTTATACCATTTGTTCGGAACACCGATAAGATAATAATATGATACGATACGGCGGTCGTCCGTCGATACGTACGATTAAGGAATTTAGTTATATTTAATTGTATGAAAATCTATAAATTTTTTTTGTAATGTCGTAAATCGTTAATTAAATTAATAAAAAATACTTCATAACAAACACAAATTTTAGTTGTTCAATAAATTTTAAAAAATGATAAAGGTGTGAACGTACGAAATTAAACCAGCAATCTATATTATAATTTCCCGTTCCAAAATTATACACCATTAATTCTACTCACTTCAGTATTGAGTACTCGTAGGTCCTCATCGTTTCGATATTCCGGATTGGTGGGAGTAGTCAATGGATCCAAAAGCATGTCTAACATTTCTTCTTCTAGCGTTCCTGTCATTATATGTTCCAACAATTCACGAGGTACTTTTGTTGCCAGTCCCATTCGTGCTTTTTGACCAAAGACTGATTCATATGGAGTCATCTTTATAGCTTCGTGGTATGTGGTATTAACGCCCCATTGTACAACGGCGAGGCCGTAACTCCATGCGGCAGTTTTGTTATCTCGCATCCACGCCACCAGCGAATCCTTCAGTGTACAATTACCTCTTTCTACAGATCCTTGGCTTTGTGGATAACGTGGCCGACCATTTACTAATATTAAATCTGGCCATAATAACGCTAATTCTTTTATAACACCGGCAGTGAATTCGCGACCACTATCGGACTGTAGAACGTGAGGTGCACCAAACGTCAAAAATATGTGTAACAGTTCTTTCGCCACTTCCGAAGCCTTTTTGCATTTCAGAGGCCGGAAAAATGAAAACTTTGTCAAGTGTTCTTTGTAATGAAGAATAAATTTAAAATCACCGTCAGGTAAACTTTGAAAGTCAACAAGGTCCACTTGCCCACGTTCATTTAAAGAAGAAGCTAAAATAGGCCGCACAACAACACCTCGCGTACTTTTTTTTTTTGATTTTTCCACACACCTTTCACAATTAGCAATATAAGCTTTTACATCAGCCATAGTAATATTAGAGTAATGCTTCATTATTTTTTTGTGTGTTTTTGTCTCACCTTTATGTCCACTGGCCACATGCATATCACGGATAATACTATGGAAACTGTCGACTACTGCCATAATACGTTGATCGCGTTTCCGTCGCACACGTCGGACGCCAGCTACCTCGATCAAATCAAATTTCTCACGGACGTGATAATACCGCCTATCTTTATTTATAGAAGCATCATCAGTTAAAATTTTAACAGCTTCGGCATCTCGTTCTGCTGTCCATTTAGAGTCCATAGTTAATAAATATTATTATTTATTATTTTATTATATTTATAATTGATTATTGCAACTAATAAACGCACTTTTAGAACCGTCACACACTGTTAACTATTTCAGCAGGCGAAACGAATAACTGAACGTTGAACATGTAGGTAGGGAATATTTGTCACATTATTTTATCAAAACAATACAAATGCCTTAGTAACTATAAGATAAAGTCACGCGGCACGGCAGTGTGGAGGCGTCTATCATCATAGGTAATAAAGATAATGATGTGGTAAGGGTAACGCCAATGGGTTCAAATATTGGTTATTTATATATCTATCACTATTCGTAATAAATTATGTTCGTAATAATATGATACCGAATTCATGAAATCGGCAGAAAAAAGTATGCCTATTTCATGAAATCGGCAAACTTTAATAGCGGATTTCATGAAATCGGCAGAAAAATTGCCGATTTCACGTTTTCTGCAACAGCGATGCTGATTTCATGAAATCGGCAATTTTTCTACCGATTTCATGAAATCAGCAATTTCACAAATTCGGCGTAACATGTATAAATAAATTGTATACGCAGAGTGATTCACCAAGCATTACCCCCATTTTTGTCTGATTTTTGGTATTTTTAAAATATACACCGAAGAAAAAATTGTTGAATTGTTTTGTTCTACTTAAGAAGTATCCATGTGGAGATGGAGAATTTCTGTTTTTCAAATGAAATCCCCTATCTTTTTTAATTGTAAATTATTTAGTGGATATTTTTTTTGAAAATTTCGATTTATCTAATTCAAAATTTGAACTATTAGTTTTCGAGTTCTATAACTTTTGTCTAATATAATATGTCGATAGTGATTGGTTAAATAGATATAGGTACATAGATGATTTTAAAAATTTTGATTTAGATACATCAACGTTTTCAAGAAAATGATACACTAAATAATACATTTGCAGTAAAAAAGTTGAATTCTTATTCACATAATAGAATTTTGTACAACCAAAGGACACTCCATAAGTAGTACGAAAAAATACCAAAAATTCAAATAAATGTTATATTAAAGGAAAAATAGGGTGAGTTTACACACAAAATCACAGTGTAAACTTTCGAAATTGTTGGACTTTTATAAGCATAACAAATGAATACCTTGTCTTACATATTCAAAGTTTTAAATGTTGTGACATCATAGATGAATTGAAATTAAAACTAAGAAAGGTTGATAATTTTAAATGTATATAAATAGCAATAAATGTATCCAAAATATTTTTAAAATCATAACGTGTTTAGGAAATGCTAAGTATATAGTTTTAATATTTTGTTGAAATTTCAAGTATTCAACTGTTATTAAATTTTGAATTATATCTACAGTTTAGGCTAGCCAATTTTTATCAAGGATACTGGATAAGCGCTCAATTGTTAATAATTGAAAGCATTGACTTGAAATTTCTAAAACGAAAACCCAATACAAATCCCATACAAATACATTTTGTATAATACTTGATGGTCACGACATGATATTTTAATTAGCTTGTCCATCAAGATTCTTCTGCAACTCCAGCGTGACTCGTCCCTAACGGCCTGACTCCAGTTTCATCGATATGGATATCATAGACTTATTATTTTTCGAAATGTTTGTTATCTATTACCTACTTATTATAACAAAATATTCAATACAAACTCTATGGATTTTATAAACCATTTGCAAAAATCATTTAAAACAAAAAAAAAAAAAGCTTAATACAGTAGTTAAAACTTAAAATATGACGGTTTTATGACGTTTATAAAGTTAGGTAATATTATGAAATAGATATTTTTAGAATATTGTCCACAACTAATATCTATTGTGATGTACCTATATTGCCTATATAATGCCCCTTGTTATATATTTTATTATTTTAAAAATAATTTTACAGGAACAGATATCAGTTACAACTGAAAACTCGTTTTTATTACTTGTAAAATAACCTGCAGAACATTGAATACTTTATTTTGAAACACTCTGTTGGTCCCCAATCCCCCATCCGATGAGTTGATAACCATACTTATTGAATGATACAGAATAACATCTAAGACAATATTTTATTCGTGTTAATTTTATAATGTTTGTTATTTTTTTACACCATATAGTATATACATAATAAAAACTGAATTTAAATATTTCAATGGAATATCAGGAGTTCATGAGCAAGCTTTAAGGCAAAGAAATAATTTTTTATTAGCCCGGTTGGTAAAACCTGTTGTTAAAAGTTAAAACAAAGTATAATTAGATATTTTAATGATACAGTTTCAACAATTTCATATCAAATAGTTTTAATAGTAAAAATACATAATATATAATGACCATGTATGTTATTAAAATTAATATTGAATATTAAATTAATGTATTATAGTTGCAGATTATAAATATACAGATTATTAAAAATTCGTGTTTTGAATTATATATTTGGTATTTATTGAAATTTGTACAAGAATATAAAATTAATACGAACATTACGTCCAATTAATTTGATTCGTTCCAAGAAAATGTGATGGTGCCTGAGTTCCTGCTGGAAACGGAATTTCCAAAAAAATGTCATACTTATAATAAGTATAATATTTTATATTAAACGATCATGGCGTAACATGATAATAAATTAAATTACATAAAACGAATTATTAAGAGCCACGTTCGGTACAATAATATTTATTAAGACTTAAGAATACAACTGCAGTCGGTTACCAATGTATTTTATGCAACTTAAATAATATTATAATAATACTCAATGCGTATCGATCAGTCGTATAATATTATTATGATAATACTATATTGTATGGAATCGATTATGAAGTAATACCGTGTCGGGTCCTCCGATTGATTAGATATACGTCGTAAACATAAATAATCATAAAAAAAAAAAATGGCTGCTATAATTTACTGCGAAAACTCACGAAACCATAATTACACTGTGCTTATAATGTATTCGAACAAAGTGGTCGATGATGTTTATAATGTTTCATATTATAATTTTTTTTTTGTGACATTTAAACGGTATTTGAGCATAATATTATAATAATAATATAGTCTGTGGGAGTCGCTGCGGCGTCTCTATTCTCCGAGTCTGGCAATGAATTCTAATTTCTTCTTATTTGCCGGCAAAAAGTATTGGTTCATGTGCACGTTATTGACATACTGTCCGTTGACGTTTCCTTTCGGCAGGTAATTGGCCACGACGATTATCCGACCAGATCGACTGCACGCTTTTCCGACGCCCAACTCTTTCGTGTTCGACCACACGAGTTGGGTGAAAGGACCTGTACATAATATATTCCAACGTATCATATTACGTACAGAGAAACCTCCCCTAACGGACACCCCTAAAAACAGGGAACCTCCATATAGCGGACGAAATTGCAAACATAGTGACCGAGAGAGTGCGGTACTTAGAGGTTTCACTGTATGTATATTATATAGTCGTGTTGAACATTTTTTTTTTTGTTAATTAAAATAGTAATATTAATACGTTTGTGATTAGACAAACAAATAGGAAGGTACAGCACAGCGAAGCGCGCTGATGATTTACCTGAATTGATGTTGGCCGAGTACATTTTCGGATTTTTTCTCGGCTTGTAAGCTCTCGAAGACGAATACCATTCACGGACAACGTCCTTTCCTGCGGTTCATTTTATAAAGACACAAAAAAAAACATTTATTTCACCCTGGCCGTAATACATAGATAATATTATAATAAATGTTGCAACAAAAATGTCTACCTTCGATTTCGGTGGTGCTCGTCGGTTTCCGGCAAAACAGATTCTGTCCGTAATTGATTTTGTTCTGATAGGCGAACGTTTCCGTGTGTGCCAAATGATTGGCCCAGTTCTGCGCTTCTTCGCATAACTATAATATGAAATACATTATTAAAGAATTTGCTATAACATAAATATTTAGTTTTTTTTGGACGTCCCAACATAATTATTACTATGAATTCTGTTACAAAATATGAATGTAAGATATTCTAAGTTATTATAATATTATAATCCTAAAAGATATTTCATGCATCATTCGATATTTTTGATAAGTGTCTTGAAATACCTACCGCTGTATTGTAGGACGTTCAATACAATATAATATTATGTTTTATTACTATTATTATTACTATTACTATTACTATTACTATTACTATTACTATTACTATTACTATTACTATTACTATTACTATTACTATTACTATTATTATTATTATTATTATTATTATTATTATTATACTTTATAATGTATTATTGTTCAGTCATAAAAAAAACTAATAATATTATTTGTTTTTGGCCTCTCTAAAGAAGTGCCATAAGTCATAAACCTTATTATTGTGCAAATCATGACAATTGTCAGTGGCGTTAACAATTATGTGATGTATGCAGGGATTTCTTTAGTAGTATTATTATATACTTTAAACAACGTCTACAATTTTCCTTATCGAGATTTTGAAAGGTCGTATAGACGCTGTTTATTTATTTCGATTCACTTCTGCAGGGCGTATCCTAGTCGACAACCGTTGTGCGTGTGAAGTTAAACCACGTTTAAGCGAATTAAATTACAACAAAACGGATTTCCACGAACCGAGACAGAAGTTTGAAAAACATAATATAATTATATTATAAATAATACAACATGATAACAACAGTTCAATTTAAAATCCTCGAAGCCAAGATGAATAACAATATGAATTACATTAATTCTAAATTTAGTTTAAATAAATATATACTTGCATTAATTTTAATTTAATAAAGCACCTACATAATATTTTGTTTACGTGTTTTTTTATTTTTTAATTCGTGTTAATTTTCATGTTATTATTTTGTGATAATATATTTAATTATAATTCAACAAAAAAAAAAATGATTTTAGTTTTTAGACGAATTTATTACTGTATTTACATAACGCTGAACAAATATTTCTGTTAATAAAAATGAATTATCAAATAATACAATATATAATATTATGTATCTTATATTGAAAGAAAACCAATCAAGAAAAAATGAATGTTTGATGGATCCGAATGTAAGTGTCAACTCACGTGTGGACTCAAGACCAACTCGGTCGACCTATGAAAGTGCCTGTAGAAGTTATGCCAAAACAAACAGTCTTTGACGAAATCACTGGGCGTCCAGTAGTTGACGAACTTGTGGTCCCTGTTGCTCCGGATTTTGTTTCCGAGTACCTGCTCAAAACGAAAACAATTATTGTACCGTAATATATGCGTCAGGTAGGTATAATCAATTACTTCCTTACAAAGGTATAATATTATATAGGTACCTAGGTATAAGCTTCGGTGATAAGAATAATAATACAAATACGAGAGAGCAGAGGGTTATCGGTGATGGAGCATTTGAGGGGAGGTATATCTTACGCACATTAGGTAATTTATGCTAGGTATACACCGAGGTCTTCGCGTTTTATTTTTGCCGTGATTGCTTTCGGTCATGAACACTTCTGCGCCCCTAGGGTCAGAGTGTATAATATATTGCGATAATAATAATTATTATTATTATTATTATATTGTATTATGCAATGATAATAATACTCCGAGTATATATATTATATACACACGCGTAGGTAGTTTTAATCGCCGAGGCCCTTGCGCCGTGAGTGATTTATGTGCGGACTGTGTGGCGCCGCCACCTTCGCCTCATCCTCACCTGCACCCCATAACAGCTGCATAATAATATTAATGATAGATAAGGAGATTATACAGACAACAGATAAGGACGGACGTCAATCCGATAACATTATGGCACGCCATGCCGACCAGTCGTTGGCCGTCGATTGGACGGCCAGGACGCCATACTAAAAACGAAAACCCTAATCGTCTTTCGGCCCAGTAAAGTACAATATAATATTACAATGTAAGCATGAATGAAATGCAGACAACAATGTAATGCAGAGTGGTTGATATAAAATCGGAAAGCATTCGACAATTCGGGTACCTATTAATGGTTACTGGTTAGGTGATCGTCAATCTACAGATAAAATTGAATACATATTATAATATTATCTGTGATCGAGAAACACGTCTTCTACCAATAATTTAAAATGAAAATGAAAAAACCAATAGGGCAAACGATATGCAAAGATCGATAAATACAAGTTATAGATTAGTTAATATGTATTATGTACCTATAACGTTACAGTTTTTCTTCTCTTTTTAGACGAGTTATTTTTTTTTAAATTTAATCAATTAGTAAGTCATTAAAAATATTTCAATAATTTTTAGTTCTAAGTTTCTCCCTTAACATATATGCATAGTTTGCGCATTGAACTACTAATACTAATCAATTCTAACCATACGATACGACCATAATGGTATTTTATTTATGGGCACTAAAAAAGACAGGAGTATCCACGATGGTGCATATTATTATGCTTCAGGTACCTAATATGCTACGCAAACAGATGGCTCATCGGCGTACTAGAGAGACCTTGAATTCGGAATTCCTAGCACTTATTTAACGTTGAATGAAAAAGTCGGCTATCATAACAACAAAATATATAATAAACATAATATAACACACAACGTGTACCTATTAATATTATATTATACTTTCAGTTTGCACACGCGATCCCGACACTCTGCACGACGTCTTGCACTAGCTAGCGCGCGTGGGCCATAACATTATCATAGCTGCAGTCGCGAAGTGTTAATTTTTTGTTGTTTTTTCTTATCTAAGCTTACTTTGTAACACAACGTGTATTGCTATTATTATTATTATTATTGTGTTGTTTATACAAGACAGTTTTTTACATTTTATTTTTTATACGCAAATCGATCGTGTGTTATTTCGAAATATTTATTGCACTCGCAATGCTTCGTTTCAGTGTATTTTTTTATTTTTTTTGTAGTCACTTTTAATGACGTTTATCTACCTATCCACTTACCTACCGCGTTTTATTATTTCTCAACGTGTTATAAAACCGTTACCGAATTTATTTTTGTAGCCCGTATTTTCTATTTACGACGAGAATCGTAGACGATATTCTCGTGGATGTTTTTACGCGTTTCTATATAATATTGGACATTATTACGTATACCTACATTTTTATAGTTTTGTTTTTTGGCAACAAAAATATTCAAGCTCAGACGTGAGACCAGCTTGAAGCGCTGCCTGTGAACCATAATAATACTATATCCTATCAAATCATCAAGACATAACTATTGGATATTATGGATGAAATATTCCAAATTCTTAAGGTTTTTCTCTGAAGCTAACGGGGAACTGGGGACTGACGTGTAACTATCTCCAACCAACTGAATATTCTTTTACGGTCAAACTACCGACTTAAAGCTAACCAAAAATCTTTATTTGGTATATTATTTGGTATAACTAATTCATCAACCCCTAAATATATTTAATTAATTTTAAAGTTCTTCTTGTTTAATCCTTCAAAATGCTCCATTTCACATTCCTAAGCGCTCCACCAATTACGTGTCAAATTAATCAATCTGTAGATTAAATGCAGTCAACCAATTTGGATGGGAGAGACCTTTGAATAAGCATAAATTGTATATTATTATTACTTTTTTTTTAAATTTTATTTATCTATTAACATGGACAAATTATTATATATGTACTGTATTTCTATAACTTAAATTTGTAGAAATTTCTATCAAAATCGATCACGCGGAGTTAGATGAGAAAATAATAATTATATGTACTTACATTTAACTTAAACCTAAATATTATTATTATATATTAACAATTTCATTAAATATTACGACGCCCTCATATAAGGACAATGAAAAAGTCATCACCCTGTAAAATTTGTGACGCATGTTTATGCAATATATATCATACTTTGTACATGACATTTAAACGTTTTAATTTACCTATGCGGTCGTCATGCTATAGCAATGTAAATAAAAACGCTTCTTATTTTTACCATTGCATGACCAAAGTATAGATTTTAGGCAAACTTTTTAGAAACGATTTCGTGGGTCGTTAAACCAGCAGCTATTATTTTTCTTTCCGGTGTAAGAATATTCAAAATAAATTATCGCCCTATACAAATCACGGTTTGTGAATAAAAATACCCATGTGGCTATGTACGATCCCTACTTTAGTCAAGTAACTCAAGGAGCGTCTAATACGTACAAAATAATCAGTTACCTACTAACAACGAGGTATGCTTATGATAACTACAATATTGTTCGTTCTTATTAATTTATCAATGGCTCATCATAAATGTATTCATTTTAAATGTATTGATATAATTGGTAATGCATAATGTAGGTTATAAGTGATAAGAAAAAGGTTCTCTATGTCTCAGTCAGTGTTAAATGAAAGTAAAAGCAGTACAGTAATTTAATATACATTGATGCTATTTTGCTTAATAAAATAAAACAATAATCAGTGGCGAAATTTCTATGAAAAAACTGGCGTTGCTGAACGTCCTATTTTTTCAGTTAGTCGTATGATACACGGTGAGAAAATTTACCTCGCACAAAATTTAGTAAACACATACTTAATAATGGCATTGTTATGCACCTAAATGTTTGAATGCCCAAATAAGAAAAATCTTGATCTTACCATAGTCAAAAACTGGCACCCAACTCTTCAAGTTATTGCACTTATCATGTATGTTTAATGATTATGTTTTATTTTATATTAAAAATATATAGGTACATTTTTTTCTGTATAATCAAAATAAATAAGAATAGTTAGATTGTTGTGACACAGTTTATTTCCACTTTAATGTATATTCACCACATATGACTATATGAGACATTAATAGTTATTAATTTGTTAATGCGAACGTTTTGTAATTTATGAAAATTGCATATTTAACCAGTCTAGTATGAAAAATCGTTCACTGAAGCGTATTGTAGTTACATGTTCTTGTTCTAATATGACACATGTTGTTCAACATGCATCCATGTCTTAGATTTTAAATAATTTTTAAATACAATTTTATTGACCATAATATTGTCTACACTATAATAGTTAAGCATACTTTGACATATGGCAATGTGACTCACACAAATTACCATGGACTAGGTACTCACATCACCTACCTAACTCGCTTACCTTTTGCATTATCTTCGGCAATTGGTCCATCGTTACCTTGGTTCGGGTCTGCGGTCCCGAAGACATTTGGTTACCAGCAGCGGTCCACGGCTTGATGGCCTCACAAGTCTGCACCAGAGCCCGGATGTACCTGACCGTTTCCGCATTGTCCCTGCGTCGGTCCGGCGTCCAGTAGCGGCCGTTGTGCGCGACCGGCGACGGCCCCGTGGTCCTGATCGGTCGCAGCCGCAGTGCATCCATTGCCAACATTTTCCGGCCAACGTCCACCAGGGCGGCCGAGTATCCGGCATCGGTAGGTGAACCGGAACCGTCTCCGCTGCCACCCCCACCAGCCGCCCCACGAATGTTCATTGTGAATAATAATTGAACGAATGTTTCTCATACGCGCCCGATCGTTTACGTTGGCAACATGGTCTGAAAGGGCAAATAAGTCGATAAACAGGAAGAAAAATCATTCCAATCATTACTGTTTACAAAAGGTGACCAATTCAACGTTTGGTCAAATTGGTCGATTTTGTTTTGTTTTATATTATAAAAAGAGATTGTAAAGTTTTTAATTTAGTATTTTGAATATTTTTATGAAAGAATAGTATACCTAAAATACACAAACTTCGAATATTGATTTTAATTATTTAATAACAGTATTAATATTTAGATGATTGGATTGTAGTGAAAAAAAATTGAACACAGGTATCGCGTGTACCTGTATGTTGCGTGTCTCGTAAATTTTACGAAAAATCTCTACGACATAAAACACTTAATATAATGATGAATTAAAATACTGTAATTCTTTAAATTTTCGAGTTACAACTATTATAAAAGAACAATTTTTAAGAACAAGTACTTTTTTTTTTAAACTTACCAGAAAACCCAGCTTTTTTGTAAAAATAAAATCAACCGTACAATTATATTGTCTTTTAAACCATACATCACCGAGTTAGGATGGCAAATCGATATCCTTTTGATGAGTTCTTAAGGCAAATTCACATCAAGATGGCAGATGAGATAGCCTATATGTTCCACACCAGTGGAATACATTTATTATAAGTAATAATATAAATAAAATATAAGTGTATAAATTTAACCACTGTGCCGTTTTAAATATTAAACATTAACAAACAAAATGAAATTTTCGATGACGTGTCGTAATAATAATATAAGATAACAATCACTAGAAATTATCGACTACAATAATAATAATTATTTTACCATAATTATATTATACCTACTTAGATATTATTATTATCGTCTACACATGTCGCGACTTGTCCCGTGTTCAACATTATGGTGCCTCAGCGATTGTATAATAATATTATAATTACGAGCTTAGCTCCAAATTATAAATTAATTTTACCGCATTATATTATTTTAGACATTTAAAAATGAAAAAAATTCAATTATTACTATACAATTTAAAAATGTTTTTATAGTCATTCGAACGACGACGAGGTGTGAATATATTTTAATAACATGAACAATTTCTCGAGTTGGATTGAGCGCGACAACTGTTTTGGTATTGAGTGCAATGTAATAATATCACGCCTTCGGTCGTTAGGTGTAGTAACACACGACTGACCGCGTTGTGTTGCCGCTGTGCGCCGCGTGGGGCGAATGCGCGAGTGAGCCGATCGCGACTACGACGATAATGTATAAGTTGTAATAATAATATTATCCTGCGCCCGTCGAGTTTCAAAAAAAAAAAACGGTCGTCACTACCACACGAGAGGGGTGGTAAAAGGGTTAAACCTCACGTGTTTATCCCTTTTCAACACAGCGGTAATGTAAGTACGTTAAATTATATAACCCAAAGTACAATACATAATGAAAGAATATCGTCATGTTAGCGTTGTTCATTCGACGGCGACGACGACAGAGTTTGATATATTATTATATTCTTACGTGAATGGGTTCGGAATGTGTGTTGGCCCATCGACTTTGTCCGATCAATCCGAAAAATGTGTGCAAAATAATTGCAAATTAGTTTTCAGAATTTGCAAATCGATACTTTATTTTTGGCGAATTTTACAAATTTTTTGTCATACTCGAATCAAAGCTATTAAAGCAAAATCAATTAATACTTTATTCATAAGCTAAAAATTATTTAGCCAAGCCAGGGGCGTTTGCTCACATAGTCCAGATACTTGGTGAAATATAGATTCCATAATCATGTAATTGCATATTTTTGTAACCATAATAGTATTATTTAGGGGTTTAGCGACTACAGGTGTCGTTGAATGGAATAGGATGAGGTGTATTTAATTAATTTGCAACGCTTGAGTTATGTAGTTGTATTTATTATTGTTTAGAATAGAAAACAAATGTAATTTAAACTGTGATTAGAATAATCTGCTCTAGAATATTGGTCACAATGTATTATTCAGTGTTCAGAAATATATTCTAGAGTTGAGTCGAATATTTTCTATGTCCAAATAATAAAATCAAAAGACTGACTAGCATGAAGGTGCTCTGGCTGTTCTGGCCAAATCACATCTGAATATGGGCTGTTCGGGGTCTCCTATATAGGCCTACCCTCTACTTCTCCTAGCCCTCTTTATACGGGTATCATTATCACGGATGCTGTGTCCGCTGGCTATCGTTCCGGGAAGTACTAACGGCTCACGCCCCGATACGACTGTTCTAAGTGCGCATCCTGGGCGTCGCAATGTGTATAGTCGAATATCTATTATGTGGTATTCGATATTACTATGCACCAACGAATTATTAGTCAATATACGTGATTTTGTATTATTAAGTATTATTATAGTACTTCCAAGAAACAGCAGACTCGGTCAAAATATACTAACTGATAATTACTTTTTCCATCTTTAAGCACGTCGCATCCCTCATATATTGTGTAAAACCCGTACCTGGTCTATACGCCTGTTGTTACCCAGTAATTACCTTTAAGACGGGTGAAAAGACGTTTATCTATAGCATTACCCCGTTATCATCTCTACCAAGATCTAAAGCGGGACGCCAGTCCATGGCAATTATATACTATAGTATTTTTAAGAAAAGACATTTAACTTTAAAAACAGTTTGAAAAAAAATGTATATTGCAACCCTTTTTCTTAAATTTTTTTTTTAAAAATTTGTTTGATGATTTATTTTTGGAGTTCTGGAATGTTTTTTTGAACCAAAAAAGCTACAGCAAGCTTAAGCTTATAAAATTGTCCATATGACATAATTAATCGTAAAAAATGGGGCCCCCGGGCAACACCTAAAAAATGGAACAACATAAGAAGAAGAAAAATGTCGGAAATGGAGAAATATGTCGTGTATTGAATATTAGGTATTAATATTATGTTTCACTATATAAAGTAAAGTTTAAATTTTGTAAATTTATAATTTTCGTATTGTTTTTATTCCATTCGATTTTATTTATTGCCGTAATATTCTCTTTACATATAACACAATAGTCGATAGTATATTTGACTGATTGGTATATAAAAAATTTGAAAAAAATATTTTGACAAAAAAGATTGAAAAATTAAAAATGAAAAAAATAAAATAAAAAAATAAAAAATTTGAAAAAAAAAGTATGAGGTATTTGCATCTGAATCGAAAATATATGATATTGAGTTCATTGTTTACAATAATTGAATTCCAAAAACCGTAGACTAGAATAATTGCGTTAAAGAGTAGCCCATATGCGGCCCGAAAGTGCTGGAAATTTGAGTCCGAAATAAAAAAACTCAACACCCTAATTTATAACCCAGATTTGCCCATTTGGCATTCAAGGTTGCCATTAATTATCTTTCAGATCGTTTAAAAAAGTAAAATTAAATATGAAATCAAAATAAAAAATTATTTAAAAAAAATTTGAAGACAAAAACATAAAAAAAAAAAAAACAATTTTGCAAAAAAAAAAGTAAGAGGTATTTATACTTGCAACGAAAGTATATAATATTGTGTTCTTTGTTTATAATAATTGATAGCCAATGTCTTTTATGCTGTATCGCTTTTGCGTATTAGACAAGCGCATATGTGCTGCCCGAAGGTGCTGGTCATTTAGGCCCGAAATAAAAAACTCAACATACTGATTCATAACCCAGATGATCACATATTTTATGCAAGGTTGCCATCCATTATCTTTGAGATCTTTAAAAAAAATTAAATTGTACGCGAAATCAAAATGTAAAATTATTTGAAAAACTGAAAATTTCAAAGTACTATTTTGATAAATTGATCAATTAATATTAAAAAAGTCAATTTGCAAAATAATGACACATTTTTCGAATTGATGGGTCAACGTCGGGGGGGGGGGGGAGCAACTTCACACACATGGGTTCGGGCGTTCATATTCACTAATCAACATAATAATGTGCAGCGGTGTATTGAATGAAAGTAAAATGTCTAAAGTTATTTGGTATTTTATTACAGAACGTCCATTATATGGTAAGGTTTTTTCATCAGATTTATCGTAAAAACACAAATAGCAATAAAATAAAATAAACGTAAATAATTCAATTGTATTTTTATGGTTTTTTTGTCTACCCATTTGTCATAAGTTCATAACGATGCATTACGATTTTTATCCTATTCGTATGTGCACATTCGTGCGCAATCCATATTATAATAAATTATTCCATATTTTCTATTGTTATGCTGTTGACAATATTTGTAAAAGAATACAAGTACTTTATACTTTATAGACCCATATTTTTTTTTAATGAGGGAGAAACAAAATATACACCAAAACAGCTTTGATTTAAGCAAAGAAACATTCAGGTTTAAATTCTCTAGCAAAAATAAACAACCAGATCCGTTCTTTCTTTATTTGTCATCCTAATATAATATCAAATATTATAGCAATTTTATATTATTATACATTTTTTATCAGTATAGTGTTAACTTGAGAAAGTATTATTACTGGCTACTATTTTGATAATAATACAAGAATACTTTATATTTTAATGTTGTACAATTTTTTTAAAAAGCAAATAAATATTATCGTAATACAAATTACAAATATTTGTATTCTTAAGAAAAAAATATTCAGATTTAAATTCTCTAGCAAAAAGCATTATCGACCCAATTACTTTTTTTCTTTATTAATCCTTTATTATCCTAATATTTTAAATAACTAAATTAGGAGAAAAAACAAAATTACAAATTAAAATTATAACCAAGCGCACAATATTCAACAATCGTTTTTTCAAATATTTATTTTGATTTTGAAAGTGCGTGGGTAAAATAGAATAATCAAAGCCACTTATTTTGAGCAAATGAAAAAATGTCTAATTTTTCACAAATAATTTATTTAAGTTAGATAAGTCAATTTATTCTACATGATGGTAAGGCAAAAAAAAATTGGCCAAATTAACTTGTTTTCAATTGCCCACGCACCT